TAGCAAAACTCTGTCTCAAAATAAAAAATAAARGGGCTGGAATTGTGGCTCAGCGGTGGAGCACTTGCCTAGCACATGCGAGGCCCTGGGTTCGATCTTCAGAACCACATAAAAATAAATAAAAATAAAGGCCCAGCTACAACTAAAAAATAAATATTAAAAAAAATAAAAAGGGCTGAGATGTGGTTCAGTGGTTAAGCACTCCCAGGTCCCCCCTCCCCCCAAAATAAGACACAGGAAAAAAAAGGATGAAAGTAATATTCCAAAATGTTAAGGTGCTGTTTCTGAGAAGTAGGATTGTTTTCCTTTTTGCTATTTTGAGAATTGAAAACAAAATTTTCCCAGTACTGGAGATTGAACCCAAGGGCATTCTACCACTGAACTACAACCCAATTCTTTTCTATTTTCTTTCTCTCTCTCTTTCTTTCTCTCTCTCTCTCTCTTTCTTTCTTTCTTTCTTTCTTTCTTTCTTTCTTTCTTTCTTTCTTTCTTTTATTGTTTCTTAAGTGTTGAGGCAGGATCTCACTAAGTTGCCCAGGCTGGCCTCAAACATTTTATCCTCCTGCCTCAGCCTCCTCAGTAGCTGTAATAAGAGGTGTCCACCACTGTTCCTGGCTAACCTGAAGACTTCATAGTTAGCACTTAGAGGTGGCTAACCTGAAGATCTCATAGTTAGCACTTCCATTCCCCAGAATCCCCCACAAACAGGCTGACTAGATGGTTTCCTGTCCAAACCAGGACACTTTCCAAAATGAAATAGGCCCCTGGGTTAGCAGCAATAAACCAGAACATAGGTAAGTAAATCAGGTCTTGCAGTCATTGTGCCCCAAACCAATTCCAGCAGAGTGGGCTGGGGTGTGGCTCAGTGGCAAGGCATTGTGCAAGGCCTGGGTTCAATTGTCTGTCAGCACTGAAAAAAAAAATCCAATCCCAGCAGCACCTCCACCTCCCCTACCCTATATCCCTGTGCATTCTGTGTGCTAAACTGTCATTTTGTGGTCGAGAACAGATCCAAATCTGGGCTGGCTTGTTCTCTGCTCCTGGTCACTTCACAGAAAGTTAGTGGATGACTGCTGTGCTCAGACTATCAATTAAATATTGACTAGTTAACCTAATTGTCAAATGTGCAGAAATGTTCATCCTCCTTGATGGAAAAAGCCTGGGTCTGCCTTACCCTGAAGATGTTAAGTGGGACTGCCGCTCAAGGGACCCTGAGAAATCAAAGGACAGCTGGTAAGTCATGAAGAGTTGCTGGCGTGACATAGGGCAGGGCCATCCCTGTGGCTGGGGCATCTCGGTATCCTGCAGGCTCAGTGAAAAGGGCATGAAAGGATGAAGGAGACAACTGAAGGGGCAGTCCTAGGGGCTGTCCTAGACACTGGGATGGGTCGTGGGTCTCAACTTGCAGAAGAAACACTGCTTGCTAATTAATTGCCATTTTATAGGTGAAAAAAGTAGAGAGGTGAAGTGACCTGCCTTTGAATCCTAAGCTGAGTCAGATATTGCTTAGACCAGACGAGAAGCTGGCTTTGCCAATCTTGGCCCATCATGGAGTAGGAACTCAACTGATGTGCTGAGGAGTGGATGGACAGACACATCCCTCACGGGCGGSCTGGGGAGCGAGGGGGATGGATTGGTGGTGAATGGATGAGCCACAAGGAGGATGGATTGATGATGTTAGGCAGTTTGCTCAGTTCCTAAGCTAGCTCTTGAGTAGAATTCACAATTGCTTATCTTTTCATATCTTTAATCTCATCCAAAAGCTACTTTCTTATTACTTTGTGAATCTAGGCCCCAATTCAGGCTCCACAGTCCCATAAAAGGGAAATAAGCTTCTCAAATGTTCCCTAAGACTCCTCTGTATCTCCAGAATTCTACGTAGTCCATGTACCATCATCAGACTCCCAATCCTATCATATTTTTTTCTCTTCTTCCTGCCCCCCATTATCGGTTCTACTGCCCAAGTATCTCTAGGATGCATCCTCTCCTCTATATTTTCTGTTCCCACCTCAGTGCAGCCTCACATCTCTTCCCTGGACCTTTTAACTGGTCTCTCTGTTTCTAGATCTCCTCCATTTATATTATTTTTCGGGGGGTACTGAGGATTGAAGGGGTGCTTTACCACTGAGCCACATCCCCAGCCCTTTTTAATATTTTATTTAAAGACAGGGTCTCGCTGAGTTGCTTAGGGCCTCTCTAAGTTGCTGAGGCTGGCTTTCAACACACGATGCTCCCAAACTGCTGCAATTACAGGCGTACACCACTGCATCCAGCTTAGATCCCCTCCTTTTTGATACATCACAACCCCATCCCAGAGAAATCAATCTAAAATGCAGATAAAGCACTTCCCAGTCTGGCCAGTGGCTTCACATTCTCACAGTCTTGAAGGAGGGGCCTATCACGGACCTAACCAACTCCATTTTGTCCTTCTCTGACTCCTTTTGCATTTTTAACACCCCCTTCCTCTGAGTCACTTTCTTCTGCAGTTATCTTGCATTCCAGGAACAACAGGCATTGTTGATAAGCATCTTTATGACACAACAGTGAGTCTCTCAGAACAGATCATTCTATGATGAGATTGYCCCTTTAAGCAGCAATGACCCCATGACAAAACCAGAACTGCCCCCCTAAGCGGGAGCCCGATTGCCTGCTCAAGCATTGATGTCCTTCTCAAAGCTTCACAGATCCAGTCCTGAGATAATGATCAACCAGTCCTGACCAAGATGACCTACCCTGCCAGCTATGCAACCACCATCCCCCCCACCCCACCATGCAAGCCCCCAACCCTTCCCTTTGTTCCTCGTTTTTTGTTTTTTTTTTTTTACAAAGCTGAAAGTTTCTGTCAATTCCTTAATTCCTTGAAGACAGATCTTTGGTTCCTGTGTTCTTGTCTCTGTTCTTCCCGGGCATGGCCATACTGATTAAAGCTCTTTGCCTGCCCTTTACCGCCGATCCTCTCTTTGATTGGCATATTGGGATGTGTGGCAGAGCCTGGGACCACTGGGGCTGGAGTCTTCTCCCAAAGACTCTGGTAACAGTCTCTCATCTTGGATCCATGGTCAGGTACCGGAGACCTCCACAAGTCAACACCCTAGCCTCTCCCTCCCATATTCCTTCTCTCAGACATCACAGACGTCCCAGAGATAGTCCCACAAACTCCCCAGACGCATGAAAAGGCCACAGGAGGTTCACTTTCTGGGGCGCCACTCTCTGGGGAGTCCAGTGAGGACAGGAAGGAAGGGAAGGAGTGGGAGCTACCTAATCTCTCTCAGGACCTTGAGAACAAGGTGTATAGGGGCGTCAGTACCTGTGCGTGGGAGCAGGGGATGTGTCTGCACCCTGTCTGGGTGAGTGTCTGTGTGGAGGAGGGACAGCCTGACCACAGACTCCCCCTGCAGAGTTGACGATTAGCAATTAACTGGGAGGAATCTAAGGGGTGAGGTTAATCGGGGAACAGAGGGAGGGTAGCTAGGATTCTAGGGACTTTGCCCTTGACCCAAAGGTATAAAGAAGAGGGTCCCAGCTCCTCCTTAGGCCCCTGCAGGCTTCTTTGAGCTGGAACAGGAGCTGGAACAAAGAACCTCAAGGTGAGTCTAGGAGCCCCACATCCTACTCCTACTACCCCCTCCCCAACTCTTAGTAGGAAATAACCATCACTCAGCCCTGTCTCTGTTCTCTCTGTGATCCCATTTCCTGCTTCCAGTAACATCCCAGTCCCAGCCCAGCGGGCCTCACTCCCTCAAAGTAAAAAAAACTCATGCTCTTCCCGGGTTTGATTTGTTTTCTTTTGTTCAGGGAGCTATAGTCCCAGCTCTCTTCTGGGGTTTGAAATTCAGCTCTGCACCCTCCTCTGCTTGGATAGTCAAGGGCCCAGAACAGTGGGGCGAGATGCTGAGGCAAGCTGAGGTACCCCACCCCGGTAGCCAGGAGCTCCTGGGACAGTGCAGGGGGTACCTTAGAGAGCTCCTGGTCTGAGCCTCATTTATGGAAAAGACTCTCAGTAGTTGTTCATTGCCACTTGGGGGACAGAAGTGCATGGTAAGGGGAAGCCAAGACTTTGGGATCCAGGACAGGGAACCACAGACTCAAGAGTGTGCACTTCTGATCCCATGAGCCTGTAGGTGTCCATGGTTTGTCCTTGCTCTTAGGATGGAAAAATATCCTGCATGGCCCCRCCCTGGCCCACACAGGCAGTCTCTGCTGACACTGCTTGTTCCCTGGCTCTCTGTAGCTTGTGTATGGCCACCATCCCAGTTCCTGGGCTCCTTCTCCATACACATCTGCCCTTCTTCCTCTGCGTCCAGTTATCTCAGTTTGATTGTTTCTTTGTTCCCCCATGAGCCCACACCTACTGCGGGTACTCTAATCTTATCTATCAAAACACCCCTCGCCATTTTCCATCCACTGAGAGATTAATTCAAAATGTCTGCTTCCCCACTAGACTTTAAGCTTTCTGAGGGCAGAGGCTGTTTCTGTCTTGAATCACCACTGTACCCCAGCATTTAGCTCACAGCCTGGATAGAGTAGATGCTCAAAAATATCTTCTAGACCTTGGGAGGCTGAGGCAAGAGGATTAAAAGTTTGAAGCTAACCTGGGCAATTGAGCAAGACCCTGTTTCAAAATAAAAAGGGTTAGGGACACCACTTAATCATAAAACATCCTCGAGTTCGTCCCTAGTACTATTGTCATCATCAATAATAATTCTTCCTGGGGCTAAGGATGCACCTCAGTGGTAAGAGCACATGCCTAGTGTGTGTGAGGCCCTGGGTTCAACCCCCAGTACCACATACACAATATAAAACTTGCTGAATGAATGAATAGATGCCCATATTGGTGCTGAGCTCCTGAGGTGCATCTCTGGCTTTGTCCAGGAAGAGGTTGGGTGGCACCTCACATAATGGGTGTTCATGCATGTGCATCTACATGTGTGTGGGTGTGAGTATCCAGGACACAGCAATTGTCCCTCACATCACTGCTCCCTGACATGCAGGTATCCAGGATGATATCCTATGGAGACAGGCTGGGGGCCCCTGCCGTCTCCCCACTTCCAGTCCGCGCAGGGCACATGGTACACGGGGCAGCCTTCGCCTATGTGCCCAGCCCACAGGGTGAGTGCTGTTCCCACACCCCGGACCCTGCTTGCCCACAGTTGCCCACATCCTGGGTGAGGTCCCTATCCTTCTACCTGCTCTTTCTGTCCCTGGGCTGCTAGGGCCTCTGGTAACTTCTGACCAACCTCAGTCCTGCACAGGATCCCAGGGACATCTGCCTATGCCTTCCCCAGCCTGAGCCCAGTGACCCTCACAGAGCACAGCTGCCCCTATGGGGAGGTCCTGGAGTGCCCTGACCCACTACCTGCCAAGCTGGCCCTGGAGGAGGAGCAGAAGCCAGGTGGGCCAGGCGGGGGGATGGCAAGGGCATGGGCAGTCACTGCCTTGGTCCCCGGTCCACTTTGCTCATGCCTGGCCCACCTCCAGAGCTTGGGCTGGCCCAGAAGCTGCGCCAGGCTGGTGTGATGCTCCTCAAGGTGCCGCTGATGCTGGCCTTCCTCTACCTCTTTGTCTGCTCCCTGGACGTGCTCAGCTCAGCTTTCCAGCTGGCTGGAGGTAGGGCCTGGGTGGACAGGGATGGGGAAGGGTCTTGGAAGGACCTCAGACAATGCTGGCTTGTGCTTCCTAGGGAAGGTGGCTGGTGACATCTTCAAGGACAATGCCATCCTGTCTAACCCCGTGGCGGGACTGGTGGTAGGGATTCTGGTGACCGTGCTGGTGCAGAGCTCCAGCACGTCCACATCCATCATTGTCAGCATGGTCTCCTCTGGCTGTGAGTTGGCCCAGCAGGGCTAGGGAAGCATGTCAGGGCTGAGGGATGGGGGCAGGAGCAGGGACAGGGAACTGAGGACAAAGGGCAGGGTTCCAGCATCTCCCACTCTGTCCTCTAAAGTCTGGCCAAGAATCTGAGCCAGAGGGGGTACCCCGGGAAGCTGGGGAGGGGAGCAAATGGATTGCTCATCTTCAGATGGCCACATAGTCATGCATTGCATCAGTGAGAGAAACCAGACCTGTAGGAGATATATAATTTATTGCAAAGAATTKGCTTACATAATTGTGAGGCTGGCTAGTCAGGTCTGAAAACCATAGGCAGGCCATCTGGAAGGTCAAACTAGAATTCTTAGGCAGAAGCCAACGCTGTAGTCCATAGGTAGGAGTTCTTCCTCGGGGAAGCCTCAGTTTGTGTCTTCAGGCCTTTCATCCCATTGGATGAGACTCACCTAGATTATCAAGAATGATTGCCTGAGGCTGGGGTTGCGGCTCAGCGGTAGAGCGTTCACCTAGGGTGTGCGAGGCCCTGGGTTCGATCCTCAGCACCACATAAAAATAAATAAAATAAAGGTATGGCATCCAACTACAATTAATAAATAAATATTTTTAAAAAATAAAAGGATGATTTTCTTTACTTAAAGTCAGCTGATTGTAGATGAGAATCACAGCTATGAAATAGCTCTACACCCAGATTAGTGCTAGACTGAATAACTGGGTACTATAGACTAGCCAAATTGACATAAAGCCAGCCATCACTCCATGTGTCTGTGCATACACAAGCACAAATATATATTTGCATATGGCACATGAGTCCTCATAATACACTCTTATACATGCACCCATTCGCCTCTAGTCACACACTTGCAAGACACACACTTGGGAATACACAACACCTGCCCATATGGACCTGTGGCCTTCTGTCTTGGCAATCAACAGTATGGCAGGAAAGGCTGTTTGGGGCTGGGACATGGGTCATGGGTCCGGCAGGAGCTCCTGTGGGTGTGAAGCTAGGTGGCACCCACCCAGTTGGCTAAGCGGTTCCTGATTCTCCCAGTGCTGGAGGTGAGCTCTGCTATCCCTATCATCATGGGCTCCAACATTGGTACCTCTGTCACCAACACCATCGTGGCTTTGATGCAGGCAGGAGACAGAACTGACTTCCGGCGGTGAGGCGTGGGGGGACTAGGATGGAGACTTATGCTTGTGGTGGCGGTGGGGGGCGGACAGCCCTGCATGCCCAGAGCCCCAGCACAAGCACACCCAGGCTCTAGGCTGCCCTGCAACGTAGCCTCCCTGTCCAGGGCCTTCGCGGGGGCCACAGTGCACGACTGCTTTAACTGGCTGTCCGTTCTGGTCCTGCTGCCCCTTGAGGCTGCCACGGGCTACCTGCACCATGTCACTGGACTCGTGGTCGCCTCCTTCAACATCCGTGGTGGCCGTGATGCCCCTGACCTTCTCAAGATCATCACGGAGCCCTTCACAAAGCTCATTATCCAGGTGGGGGCCAGTGCTTGACATGGGGTGGAGGATAATAAGGGCCATCATCCTCACTCCCTCTGCCCTCATCTTGCCCACAGCTGGACAAGTCTGTGATCACCAGCATTGCCACAGGGGATGAGTCCCTGAGGAACCACAGTCTCATCCGAATCTGGTGCAACCCAGAACCTTTGGAGGTGAGTCTCAGACTTGGTCTATTGGTTTCAATAGACCTTGGGGATCATTTAGCCAGGACAGAGTATACATGTGACACTTTTTTCTGTGACACTCTGCCCATGGCAGACATTGCGAATCCCCCCAAGCCTCACACACTGCTTCAGGCAGACATCACCAATCAATTAGAGTTGGCATGGAATTGATCTAGCCCAGTGATTCTCAAAAGTATTTTCTCTGGACCAGCAGCATCAATACCACTGGGGAGCATATTGGAGATGCAAAGTAGATGCAAATCAGGTGCATCTGATATACAGCCTACCCTGGACCTACTGAATCAGAAAAACTCAGGGTGGGGCCCAGGAGTCTATGCTTCAACAAACCCTCTGGGTCTGCTCCATGCTCAAGTTTGAGAACCACTGAACTAGTTCAACCCTCTGGTTTCACAGGTAGAGACACAGGCTCAGAAAGACTATGAAATTTGCCAGAACTTGTCCTACTCTGTCAGAGCCCAGAGTGTACCAGTAGGGTTAGTGACTCAGCTCTAYCATGTTTTGGGGCCCCGGCAATGTGGGGAGGGAGTGGGAAGAGTAAGATGAACAGGAATTTGGCTCGGGAGCAGGCCAGGTGAGCTGTTGCATGGAGACTACCTTGGGGACACAGTAGCCACTTTTGCTGGCATAGGGGCTCCGTCTGGAGACTGTCACAGGTATGAGCCCCTTATGCCTTTGCACAGTTTCTGCTGCCTGGAATAAAAAACTGTTCAGATTGGTTGGACACTCATGGACCAGCCATTATACCAGGCTAACAGGACACAAGCAATTAGCACACTTTCTTACTCAGCCATAAAAAGGAAAATGCTTCAACCAAACCATGATCTCCCAAATTTGCCTCTGAATTGCTGCATATAAGGAGTGATGCCATTTAGAACAAGCTACGAGGAAATCTGAAGCACACAATACAAGCCCTTTGCCCTCATTCTCTCCACTTACTACTTGATGTTACTGGACCTTTATCCCAGCGTGAACAGAAAGCACTCAATCGAGTGGCCCTACAGAGTTCCTTTGCATCTGAAGTGGCACACAGCTCCAGCTCAGGCCTTCTGAGAGTTCAAGGCAGCTTGACATCAAAAAGCCCTTGTAGATAGCTTTTAAGCTTGGTTTGTGACCTCTTTAACATGTCAGCCAAGAGCTCTCTGAGCACTCTGTGAGCTCTCTGGAATTCCACCGCCTCTCTACTTCCAGTGTAAAAGCCGAAAGAGAGAGAATCACACCTTTTGATCTTCACACACACCCACAAAAAAAAAAAAAAAAAAAAAAACAAGCCATGGAAAAGAGCTTCATTCCTCTGAGAGGCCCACTGTCCACCTGCTGCAGCATTGAGCAGTATTGAGGTCCCGTTTGCAGGGTGTGCCTCCTCACCCAGGATAATTCTCCTGCAGTGCTGACAAAGAGGACGGCAGGACCCCATTTTACACTAAAGGGAGCTAAAGCTCAGTGTTGTGACTAACTATCCAATTCACCTGGCTGGGGCAATCCTCAGGTTCTTCTCTTCTGCCCCAGCTGTCAATTGCCAAAGCACTGGTTTCATGTCCCCACTCCATCAGGAAACCTATCCCTGAAGAGCAGGTTGGATTTTCTTGGCTTGGAAAGTAGTTGGGGGCGGGGGATCTGAGATCCCTGCTCTCAYCCTCCCTCTGGGACTGTCCCTATGAGAATGGGACTCATGCAGCATTGTGTGTGCTCTTGTGATAAGCTTTGGTGACTCCTCCTGTACCAAAGACTGCACCTAAGTTTTTCCTTTGACCACAAAGTTCCCCTATACTTCCAGCCACTTCTCATTGCCTCCAGCTTTCATCATGTGAGACCTGACCTTAACCAAACCATTCTCCAGGAAACCTTTGTCACCAAGGAAAGAATAGGAGACTGGAGAAAGAGAAAAAAAAAAAAAAACAGAGGCTGATTTTTCAAACATTTCTGGAGGTTCCAAGAACCTTGGCACTACCCTAGGAATTACCTTCTTGTGGGATTACATTGCGGATTGCCAACCATACCTGCCTGATTTAAACAAGCATCTTTTGAGGACTTGCAACATGGGACGCAAGCATTATAGCCTTGGAGAGGCACAGTGGTTTGCTTTAATTCATGTAATTGAGATGGGGTGCAAGTCCTGGTAGAATTCTGACTCCTCATCTCGCTACCTTTCCCAGATTCCAACCTGGGGTTCCACTATATGTGTTTATTTCCCATTCCACCCCTGGGCTTGAATGCCACAGAGTAACTTGAGAATGTCACAGGCCACTCTGAGAGACATTCCAAGGTGGGAAATGGGTGTCGTTCTCAAGAATTCTCCTCCTAGCCACCAGATGGCGCTGGTGGTCCGGCGTTGTCCGGCCTTCGGAGGAACAAAGACCTGGAGCTCCCCTTCCTCCAGGGGGAAAACTATTTCACTGGCACACACCCTGAGTGTGTCTCCCCTGGGAAAGGATTCTTGGAACCCAACAGTCCTCTCTGAGCTTAATAACCTCCTTCCGTTCCCAGAAGCGTCTCCTTAATTGGGCGTGTCCCTGCAGGCATTAAAATCCCAACTCCCTCTTCTAAGATCCTTCCAATCAAGCTCCTGGGGAAAGTCACAGCATTGTAGACCTCAGGTCCTATMGGAGGCAACGGAGGCCAGAGGCTTAAGTGTGTGGTTCAGTGTCCCACAGCTGAAAATGGCTCAGCTATGGGGAGAGCCCAGGGGTATGGAAGGCCCATTCACTCTGTTCCACCCTCGACACTCATTCCCCAACCTGTTTTCTTCTCCTCCAGCCTCCACCTCCACCGCAGGCCCAGACAGGATGGTCACATCCTAGGAATATGCTCCTGATCCTGGGCCTTCCAGCTCTATTATTTAGGCTGGAGTTTCCATCAGCTCCCTTTGTCCTGCAAAAAGCCCCAGGGTATGCTCCCTTCCCTTGGTTCATGGGAGCTGATTTTGCAGGCTACCCACCTTTCTGCCCTGCCGCTACCTCTACATTCCCCTTTTGCCCTTTAAGATCTCTAACTTCTCTTGTGGGTTCACCCCCAAATAGAAAAATCAACATTTTAAAACTCCAGAGAGGGATTTGGGAAATAGCTCAGTGGTAGGGCTTATGTGTAGCGTGCGTGAGGCCCTGGGTTCAGTCTCCAGCACCCAAAGCAAAACAGAACAAACACCAAAACCAAAGGTCTGAGCCCTCCGCCTTGCCCTGTCCCTGATTTTCCCTAAGGTGGGACCCCAGCAAAGCTCCTCATCATCCTCTAGCCTCTCCAGGATCCCACAAGCCCCTCTCCCAGGATATCCCCGGTCTCGGCCCAGGGAAGGTTAGTGTTAGTGGGGACGGGATGGACAGGCACTCAATTATCTCAGGGAGTCATCTGCTTTCTAGGCCTCCAGGCTGGGCACCCCGAGGAAGGTCACCAAGCTCCTCCCCACAGGGTCAGGATCCTTGGGCACGTCTGCCAGAGCCATTGGTCCTGACCTAGGAATTCAACCACATTCCACATGACCCTGAATGGGTCCGGGGAGGGAAATCATCTATTGCTTATTTGGAGACACAATTTACTGAAAGCTTGTCATGAACCAAGATTATCCTGCTTTATTTTTTTTCTTTCTTTCTTTGGTGTTGAGGATTGAACCCAGTGCCTCACATGTGCTAGGCAAGTGCTCTACCACTGAGTCACAACCCAAGCTACTATCCTGCTTTAAAAAAAACTGACTCGGAGAGGTGGCTTGACTGATCCAAGTAGTTGGTATGAGAAGTAGGATTTGGCCTGCTGTGGTGGCACATGACCGTAATCCCAGCAATTTGGAAAGCTGAGGCAGGAGGATCACAAATTCAGCCAGCCTGGGTAATTTGGTGAGACTCTGTCTCAAGATAAAAAGTTAAAAGGTCTAGGGATGTAGCTCAGTGGTAGAGTGCCCCTGGATTCAACACCCAGTACTGAAAGAGAAAAAAAAAAAAAAGAATTTGAACTCAAATCTGCTCAACAGCAAATACCTGGCTCTCTGTCTCCCTGGCACCCAGCTCTCTCCCTTGCTGACACAGTAGCTACCATCACTCCCCAGCCTGGTTTTCCATTCTAGCCATCAGAGATGATTTTTCTCTCTATTTCTTGGCCTGCAATTCAGGCCTCCAGGCTTGATGGTACCCCAAGGGTCAGACACAGCAAACTGAGAAGGCAGATGAGCACATTGTCTCATTTGAGGGAACTCATCCCACTAAAATAAACCCTGATGTTAAAACCAGATGCCATAAACAGTTCTTATCTCCATCTTTTTCCCCCTGTGGTGCTGGGATCTAACCTAGGGCCTTTGCCTACTAGGTAAATGCTGCATCACTGAGCTATGTTCCCAGCCCGTCATACATTTTTTAAATGGCACATAGTTTGGAACAAAACCTAAAGTAACCGTAAGCGTCAAGGTGCCAATACCCCAGCTAATCCCAGACCTTCAGCATCAGAGGGGGTCAGGGTTGGAAGGTCCCTGACACAGAGCCCCTGAGGGCCTCTCAACAGAGGCAGAATGAGAAAACAGGGAGAAGTTGTAGCTCTTGAATTTTGCTTAGAATCCTGGTGGCCCTTGCTGGTGTGTGGCCCTGGGAGTTACCACTCTTTACTGAAGCCCAATTCTTCTTTTGTGAGATGGGCTTCTCCCCTTCAAGCCCACCCAACTACTCTGTTGTCTCTRGGCTCTTTGGAGAAAGGTAAGGAAACTCAGGCTGCATTTTGGATAATGCAATGGGGCTATCCAAGGAGGCTACAAATAGGTGGTCCAGAGGCCAGATGGGCTACTGCTCCTGCTGACCCTAGAATTGTGCTTGCTAGAATCATAACGTATATCTCAGGATGGGTACAGCATTTATAGAGATTGGGAGACTTTATCTAAAAGTTCAAAATTGTTGTTTTTCTTGTAGAATTGGTCTATGATGGACTATGTCCCTGGATGGAGACAGTGGCCCAGATCTAAGTAGTTACTGTCCCTCCAGGCCCCATACACACTCTCCAGCCACTCTGCGCGCTGTCTGGGCCTTGAGCCCAGGTTACTTGCCTAGCCCTGTGGCCCTCTGAATCTGGGTCTCCCTGGGAGACACCCTCATTTCACTGATAGTAGGTGGAGAAGGAAGAGATGTGGGGGCTGGACCCCACCACTTGTCCCCTTCTATATGATCCCTTCAGGATAAGAAATTGAGCACAAAGAGAACGGAGCTGGCAAACTGTGCGTCTGGGGAAAGGGTGTCCTGGGGAAGAGTGAGGTACACCAAGAAAGAGACTGATAATAAAAAGGGAGAAGGGAGAGTTTTCAGGAAAGGGGGATCATGGTCCATGGCACCCAGTGCCACTGAGAGGGAAAGGAAAACAGACAAGATGCTTCTGGATTTGGCAATCAGGAAGCCCCTACTGGTCTCAGGGATAGCCAGGTCAGTGGCTTAATGGACAGAGTAAGCAGGGGACCTACTGCAGCCAGATGCTTGTGTGGCAAGTTTTGCATTCACATCTTTTCAGTGGAGGATTTGGGCTCAGAGAGGGCAAAAGACCTGTCCACGGTCACAGAGCCTGCAGACTTATCTCCAGCTTTCCCATCTTAGCCCCCAACCTCAGGCTGTTTTCCTAGATTCTCTATGTCACTTTCTTCTTAATATAGGTTTCCACTTCCATGTCCAGGGCAGAGGCCAATGCTAGCCAGACCCTTGGAAATGCTACCATGGAGAAATGTAAGTACCTGCAACATGGGAGGTATCCTACATGGCAGGGAAGCTACAGAGCTGCCCAACCATGCTTCGTCCAGCCCCAGGAAARACAGCTGCCCATCAGTCCAGCTCCTGGGCTTGGGTCAGGGCTGGTGACCCAAGAGGTGGGGTCTTAGGCTCACAGCCCAAGGGGTAGCAAATGTGGGATTGGGGGCCAGCTCTCAGCGGTTGACACCACCTCCTGCAGGCAACCACATCTTYGTGGACACGGGGCTGCCTGACCTGGCTGTGGGACTCATCCTGCTGGCTGGCTCCCTGGTGCTCCTATGTACCTGCCTCATCCTCCTCGTCAAGATGCTCAACTCTCTGCTCAAGGGCCAGGTGGCCAAGGTCATCCAGAAGGTCATCAACACTGGTGAGCCATGAGCAGTGGGTGGGAAGACTGCAGGACAGGGCTTTGGGCAGGGCTCCAAAATGGCTCCTTCCAGATCCTGCCAAGTCCTGCCACTGCCTAGATCTGGGCACACCCCTACCATCTGTGAGCCTCTTTCCCGGTGTGAACAAAGAAGGGTTTGGGCTGGGTAATTCTGGAAATTCCTGAGGTACTGACAGCTGAGGAACTGGGGCTGCCTCTGGCTGTAGTTCCATTCTAGCTGGTGGAGATTCCCAGAGGCCATTGTTTTATTCAGTCGACAAATAGACTTTAGTCTCCTTTTGCATGCCACAGGATAAGAGGGGTGAGGCAAGTAGGGATGGATCCTGATCTCAAGGGGCTCTCGGCCCAGAAGGGGAAGATGGGCAGTGCAAAATAAATGAATGAGGGGGATAAATTTGGAGAAAGGGCAAGGTAACTGCAAAGGGGAGAACAAAATTGGCAATGCAATAGAGTATGGAAAAGGTGCTTTTCAAGGGGCGGTCAGAGGTCTCTGAAGGAGACCTTGAGCTGAGGCCTAAATGTAGCTCATACTAGAGCACTTGTCTAGCATGGGTGAGGCCCTAGGTTCAGTCTTCAGCAAGAAAAAGAAAAAAACAAATGTGGAGAAGAACATTCCAGATGAAGAGAACAGCAAGTGCAAAGGCTCAGAAGCAGGACCCAGCTTGTCTGGTTTGTGGTACAAACAGAGGGTGATGGGAGCAGAAGGGCTCTGTCTCTAGGCAGAATGAGGTCAGGATGAGGAGGAAGCCAAATCTCAGGGCCTTTAGGCTCTGCTCCCAGCCTGGACTTTGCTGTAGGTAATGGGAAAGCACACAGGCTTTGGGGCAGGGGAGGGACATCAGCGAATTTTCATTGTTCACTTCATTTTGAGCTTTGGGGATGCTGCTTGGCACTAGGAGAGGCTGAATGACATGTGGGAACAGGGAGCTCAGAGAAGGAAAAAGCAAAAAGGGTAGGTTATAGGGGGTGTCAGGGAGGGCTTCCTAGCAGGCGGGTGCTATCTGAGCTGAGCTTGAAGTTAAATACAGTTGACCCTCTGTATCTCTGGGATCTAAGTCCACAGATTCAATCAACCATGAATCACCAATATTCAGAAAAATAATGGCATGTGTCCTGAACATATGCAAACCTTTTTCTTGTCATTATTCCATAAACAATACAACAGATATTTGCATAGCCTTTCCATTTTATTAAATAGTATAAGGAATCTAGAGATAAGTTAAAGTATATAGGAGGTTGTGTATAGGTTATATGTAAATACTACATCATTTTAAAATGTTTTTCTTTAATTTATTTTTATGTAGGTACCAGGGATTGAAGCCAGGGGCCACAACTCTTTTTTTTTTTAATATTTTATTTTGAGATAGGGTCTCACTAAATTGTTTAGGGCCTAAGCTAAGCTGCTGATGCTGGCCTCGAACTTGTGACAATCCTGCTTCAGCCTCCCAAGCTGCTGGGAATACAGGCATGCACCACCACGCCTGGAAATTCTATACCACTTTATTGAAGGGACTAGAGCATCCATGGCTTTTGGTATCCACAGGCATCCTTGACCCAACCTTCGTGGATGTTAAGGGATGACCATATTTAGATGCTGACTAGGATATTCTGGGCAGAGGGRACAACTGGGGCATGATACCATGACGGCACCAAGCAAGAGAGGCCTCTAACGCAAGATCAAAGATGGGGAAGTGGAAGTCACTGAAGTTTAGCAGGGGACTGGCATCCAAGTACCTCCGTCCCAAAGAGGGTGCCTATTCTCCCAGTGCTCTCCCACTGACCCCGCCTGCYGGGATGGGATTTCCTTGCAGACTTGCCTGCCCCCTTCACCTGGGTCACAGGCTACTTTGCCATGGTGGTAGGCGCTGGCATGACCTTTGTTGTCCAGAGCAGTTCTGTGTTCACGTCGGCCATAACCCCACTCATCGGTAAGTGCCTGCGCTGAACAGCAGGGGAGGGGGGCTGGGAGGGGAAGGGCTGAAGGAGGAGGCTGGGGAGGCTCTGCATCCTCTTCCCCTGCCCGCCAGGACTGGGTGTGATCAGCATCGAGAGGGCCTACCCGCTCACGCTGGGCTCCAACATTGGCACCACGACCACGGCCATCCTGGCTGCACTGGCCAGCCCCAAGGAGAAGCTGTCCAGCTCCTTCCAGGTGCGTTGGGAGAACAGCCCTGCCTGTGGCTGGGGCTGGGGTGCAGGGCCTGACCATGGGTGTGACCACATATAATGAATATTTTGGACTGCATACTGAGGCCACCCAAAATGATCCCTGGAAAGCCATTATGGGAAAGTAGGCTTGATTCCCACCTCGAGACCTGGGCATTGGAAACATTGCTCAATAATCACACCAAAAGTAATAGCAAGCTGGACTTGCGCTATAAGAAGTGCTATGACAAGGCAGGGTGTGGTGGCCCACGCCTGTTATTCTGGTGGCTCAGGAGACTGAGGCAGGTGGATCCCAAGTTCAAAGCCAGTCTCAGCAACTTAGAGAGGTCCTAAGCAACTCAGCAAGACCCTGTCTCTAAATAAAATATTAAAAAGGGCTGGGGCTAGGGCTCAGTGGCTAAGTGCCCCTGGGCTTAATCAAAAACAGTACTGTAAGAGGAGACCTGGCCCAGTCTGGGGGATCATGGATGAGTATAGTTGGGGGGAAGAGGCAGATGGCAAAGGGGAAATTGTTCTAGAAGCCACCCAAAAAGACACTGACCAATTAAGAGCCCAGAATGGTGAGCCAGAAACTAGTATTTATCTTTTGGCCACTGGATTTTGGCAATATTTGTTGGGGAATTCCTGAGAGAGGGGTCAGTAGGGACAAAAGTTCAGGGCAGTGGTTATTTACCAACTAGTCCAGAAGTATCTTAATATTTTAATAACCAGTGCAGTCACTCTGGCGCCACTTGTAGGCATGTCAGCTCTCAATAGTGGCTTTCCTGCTGCCCAGATGAAGTTGGGCTCCTTAATAACTGTCCCTGTTGACCTGACATGGCAGGCCCTGCCCTCCTCAGCCCCTCCCCTCCTCCCCTGCAGATTGCTCTCTGCCACTTCTTCTTCAACATCTCGGGCATCCTGCTGTGGTACCCGCTGCCCTGCACGCGCCTGCCCATCCGCATGGCCAAGGCTCTGGGCAAACGCACCGCCAAGTACCGATGGTTCGCTGTCCTTTATCTCCTCGTGTGCTTCCTGCTGCTGCCCTCGCTGGTGTTTGGCATCTCCATGGCAGGTTGGCAGGCCATGGTAGGTGTGGGTGCACCTTTTGGGGCCCTGCTGGCCTTTGTGGCATTCATCAATATACTGCAGAGTCGAAGTCCTGGACGCCTGCCCAAGTGGCTGCAGACRTGGGACTTCTTGCCCCGCTGGATGCACTCCCTGCAGCCCCTAGACCGCCTCATCACCCGTGCCACCTTGTGCTATGCCAGGCCTGAGCCCCGCTCACCCCAGTTGCCTGCCAGGGTCTTCCTGGAGGAACTGCCCCCTGCCACACCCTCCCCCCGCCTTGCACTACCTGCTCACCACAGTGCCACCCGCCTCTAGGCTGCAGGACCAGACTACTTCCTGGAATAGGGAAAGGCCTGTGAAAGAGCTCAGCGTGGAAGGGCAAAGGTGTGTGTGAGTGTGTGCGCGCGTGTGTGTGTGCACGCATGCATGTGGTACATGCCACCTTGTGTGTGTGCCTGTCCTTATGCTGGTCCATCGAGGTCTGGGCTTGTGACTGAGAGGCAGTGTTCATGTGCACGTGTGTTTGGGGTGAGTCTGTGTCTATGTGTATAGGTGGAGAAGCCTGTATTTGTGTACACGTGTATGATCCCATGCATGTGCAAAGACATACCAGTGGGAGGCTGTGTGCAGGTTCCAGGGGATCTGGGTATGATTTTGAGTCCTTAGCATGTGTGCATGGAGGCCTGCACTTGTGTCCCTGTGTACACAAGACTGGTTACCACAGACAGGAGTAAGGGTGGCTCTGAATGGGTGACTGTGTGGCTGTTTGCTTGTGCTCATTTGTGGGTGCCTGAGTCACTGATTGAATTTCAGCCCCTCTGTGCCACCTTCTTTCCCCCACGACACCAGTCTCCTCATCCCCATCCAGGGCTTCAAGCATCACCACTATAATCCTTTCCCACCCCTGCCACATGAAAAAGAGAAAGGAATTAAAATTTCATTATGCATTTGGAAGTCTTTTTTTTTTTTTAAATGGACACAGTACCTTTATTTTTATGTGGTGTTGAGGATCGAACCCAGTGCCTCACCAGTGCCTTACACATACTAGGCAAGCACTCTACCACTGAGCCATGTCCCCAGCCCTGATTTTTATTTTATTTAGAGACAGGGTCTCACTGAGTTGCTTAGTGCCTTGCTGTTCCTGAGGCTGGCTTTGAACTCGCCATCTCCTGCCTGAGCTTCCCGAGTTGCTAGGATCACAAGTGTGTAACACCACGCCCAGCGATGGACCCTCTTTTGAGGCATGGTGGGGAGATTCAGGTGCCTAGTAGCTCCAAAACTGCTCTCAAGCAACCACACCCATTCTGTCACCCATTTACAACGTTTRCTGGTGTTCCACCAAGTGGAAGGGGCGGAAGTACAGCCTGGACCTCTGTATCCACAGGTTTTGCATCTGCTGATTCAGCCCACTGTGGATTGGAAAATATTCTTTAATTACATCTGTACTGATCTTATATATATTTTTTTACCCTTATCCCTCAAAAACATAGTATAGTAGCCAGGCATGGTGGTACATGACTATAATCCCAGCAACTCCAGAGGCTGAGCAGGAGGAATGCAAGTTTGAGGCCAGGCTCAGCAACATAGAGAAAATCTCAGCAACTTAGCAAGACTCTGTCAAAAAAAAAAAAAAAAGAAAAAAGAAAAGAAAAGAAAAAGGACTAGCCAGACACGGTAGCACATGCTTGTAATCCCAGCAATTCTGGAGGCTGAGGTAGGAGGATTGCAAGTTCAAAGCCAGCCTCAGCAATTTAGTGAGGCCCTAGGCAACTCAGTGTAATCCTGTCTCTAAATAAAATACAAAAAAGGGCTGGGGATGAGGCTCATTGGTTAAATGCCCCTGGGTTCAATCCCCAGTACCAAAAGATAAATAAAAAATTTAAAAAGGACTAGGAATGTATCTCGGGGTAAGGTGCCCCTGGATTCAATTCCCAGTGCAAAAAAAGGAAAAAAAAAAGCCAGTATAGAAACTATTTCCATAGCATTTAAATTGTATCATACAGTACAAGTCATCTAGAATGACTTGAAGTACACAAAATACTGTCATTTATGTAAGGGACTTGAGCATCTGAAGATGTTATTACCTACAGAGGTCCAGGAACCAATCCCCAAGGATACCGAGGGACTACTGTACACTAACCTCAAGGCTGAAATTCTAAAACCACAGGCCCTAGCTGATGTGTGCCTGGGGAGAGGTCTCCACATAATAACGGGGACTCCTTTTACTGTTTGTCCTGCCTAGATGATTTGGTTTCTGTAGGAAAAAATGAATCTAAGGCCTGAGGCAGAGAAGGCCTCTCCTTGGACTCCTTCTCAACTGTGGGGTCCTCCCCAGGATCTTGGAAGGCGCCTAGAAGCAGCAGTCAGGTAGAGGCCTCTGCAAGGCACCCATGAATGGGTGGGTAGCAGACTGGGCAGCCTCTAGATTTATAACCCCAACCCCACTAGGAATTGTTTTGCAAGGATCTTCCCATAAACCGGTTTCTGTAGTTGCAAATCCTCATGAGAACCAGAGGATGAGCCCACGACAACCATTCAGAGTTTATTCTGGTCCAGCTACCACCTGGGGCGGCCTGGCTGTTGTGCTACGCGCCCTGCGTGCACAGCCCGCGGATCAGCTCGTGCACAGTCTTGTTGAGGATGCCACCGTGCACGCCGCGTCTGCCCATCAGCACGAGGAGCGCGCGCGGCGTGTGGCCCACGCAAATGGCACGCGTGTCCAGCCCCTTGGTGCGCGCGTCCAGCACGCTGTCTCCCTCTGCCAGCAGATAGTCGCGGATGACGCAGCAGCGGCGGCCCGCCAAACTCAGGCCCGCCTGCAGGAAGGCCTGCCGGTCGGGCCCAACAAGCACGCCCACTTCCTGCGGCGAGATGGCAGCCAGCAGGCCCCCGGGTCGCGAAGCCCACACGCAGCGATTGTCCGAATGGCCCACGATGGCTACGTCGTCGATGCGCTGGTCTCGCAGTACTGCACTGATGTAGCCCTTCCAGTCACCCATCCTGCTCAGTGCGTCCCTCCGTCTGGCGCTTGGGAGGGATGTCCTGCTGTGCCGAGGGCTAGGACGCCTGCGGCGCTGTGACGAAAGCGGGGGCGGGGCCGTGGCAGGAGACAACGCCACGTGTGGCATGAGGCGACGTCACAGAGAGTCTACCTAGGCTGGAGAATGTGGGGGCTTTCGCGTATTACACGAGTTGAAGTTCTAAAGTTAGCTTGTAGGATGGAATCCAGGACTCCAGAGACCCTCGAAAAACCAACTTAAATGGCCCACTTAAAAGATGGGTTTAAGAACAAAAAGAAAGATGCATGTCTGGACCGGACTTCTCAGCCTGTAAGGGAAACATTCGATCCCTAGATGGCGTTCTCAAGATTCAGAGAACATCCAAAACCCTGGAAGGCTGCGGGATTGCTGGGTCCCACCCTGGAGTTTCTAGTATAGAATGTAGCCTAAGAATGTCCTTGTCTAATTCCTTGGCGAGGCTGCTGCCCTGGTGAGAGTTTGGGTGGGTATTCCGAGTTCCCAGGGCTGGGGTCCACACCACTGTTTTAGTATTAAACATTTCTTTTTTTTTTTTTAAGAGAGAGTGAGAGAGAAGAGAGAGAGAGAGAGAGAGAGAATTTTTTTTAATATTTATTTTTTACTTCTGGCGGACACAACATCTTTGTTGGTATATGGTGCTGAGGATCGAACCCGGGCCGCATGCATGCCAGGCGAGCGCGCTACCACTTGAGCCACATCCCCAGCCCCTAGTATTAAACATTTCTAACCATTGTTCTTAATCTCAGCTGAACGTGAAATCATCTGAGTTTTAAAAACATACCACTACTCATCCCATTCCTAGAGATACAGATTTAATTGGTCTCAGGTGGATCTTGAGCATAGTAGTTAGGCTCAAAATTCTCCAGATGATCCCGATGTGAGTAGTCAAGGCTGAGAACAGATGTTCTGTAAGCTTAAAAGTTTCAGTACYTTATGAGGAATAGCAGTCACCTTGCATAGGGATTGGTATGCGGTAAACATGACTTGGACAAGAATCTCAAATCTCTCATGTTAAGATCTCACAGATCCTGTTCTGTGAGGGCAGGGGAGGAGCTGTGTGCAGGTTTATTCTCTTGACATTTCCAAAGGCGACCCCCAAGGGCATTTTCAAAGCACTTTATTGAGTTTCTGTGCCCCTGGCACCTGGCTGGTGGCACTGGGAGGAATGTGGCACAATCTTTAGTCAGTGTTCATTACCCAGCCACCCTCCCACYAGGAGGGAAAGACAAATCCCTGGGTAGTTAGGAAGCTATGTGCTCCTGGATCCAAGTCACGTAGCTGGCCACGTCGGTGTAGACGCCGGGCTTGTTGCGGTCGCCACATCCGGAGCCCCAGCTGACGACTCCTCTCAAGGTGAGCCGGTTCTCTGCAGCCTGGTCCTCACACACCAGAGGGCCCCCAGAATCACCCTGTGTCGGGAACACGCAGTTCAGTTCCTTGGCCTTGAGCTTGACTGGCCGGGGAAGGCACCAGCCAGGCCTCAGGACTCACCTGGCACGCGTCTGTGCCACCCTCSAGGAAGCCAGCGCAGAGCATTCCAGGGAGGATAGCATCCCCGTGCACTTCAGAGGCGGAGCAGTGCTCCTGAGAGATGAAAGGCACCTGTGCCTCCTGCAGGAAGGTGGAATAATCCTCCGCCCCTGAAAACCCAGAGCAGATTTTCTTAGAGCACTGGCCTGCACCAGGCTTCTGCCCCCACCGTTACCCTTCCTCCCGCACAGCAAGCCCGAGGGGGAAGGAAATGCCGTTAACTCAATTTCTCAGGCAAGGAAACAGAGGCCCAGAGAGGAACCAGGAATTGAATGGGCGGGGCCGAATCAGGAACACCACCTGTCCCTCCCATCCAGTGTCTCAGAACTTGGCTATCCAAGTAGTTTGCTCGCTGCTCCAAAGCTGGGACGGTATCCTAGTAAGTCCTTGCAGCCCAGCACCACCCAGAGGGAACCAGGAGAAAGTCGATTCTCCCTGTCTCCCCAAGAGATGTGGGGACCTCAACAGTGAATCCCAAACTCTGGGAAGAGCRGACTACAGGGACAAAGACCCTGCACGCTTTCACAGCCCGTCAGATCTATGCTTCTTCTGCCACAGTTGAGGGCTTCTCTGGCTTATCCCGGTGTCCAAAGCTTTCCCGCTCGCCCCCAGGTGTTGTGCGTACCCTCGTACTGGTGGCCCCAGCCCGCCACTTGGCAAAGCATGTCCTCGGGCTCGGAGGTTTGGGCGGTGCCGCTGGGTAGGCACACTGGCTGAACGTAAGGTGAGAGRCGCGCGCAGCTGCCA